TGCTCTGCTTTCTGCCTCTGTGGGTTTGCCTACTCTGGACCGTTCAGATGTGTGGAATCATACAGTACACGGTTAGGTCAAGGGCTCCAGTTCATACATGTGCCTGTTTATTCCAGACAGTGTGTTTGCCTGCCTCTGTGATCCTTTGGTCGCTACAGGAAACTTCTCTCCACAATACACGTGTGCTTGTCCTATTAGGGGACCTTAAGCCTAAGGCGTGTGTTTTGTCGACGTGTTACGGTGAATGGGGCGAAGGCGTACAGCCCAGACCATTGGGTGTAACTTCAACAATCCATGCACCTCTTGGTGCGTCTCACTCGCCCCAGGCCCCTCAAGGTACTGTCGCCTCTCCCATTTCCTCAAGAGAGGTGCTTGTTGGCCCGTGGGGGAAGGAGAACTACTTGTAGATTAGGGCGAATATAAAATGTTTTATAAAATTCAAGTGGACAACTTCCCAAAGGATTCAAGCTTTGCAACAAGTGGAAGAGGATGCTTTCTGCCGCTTAGAAAAACACAGCAGTATGGAGGTGCCCTGTGTTCTTAGGAAGGAAGACCTCACAGATGAGCCAAAGAAGGGGAGACCATCATCCTTACCAACAAAGACACTGTGACTGGAGTCCAGAAGCGGTGACATCAGAGTCACCATTGGTGGATCACGACGGAAGTCGGGGGGTCTCACGCCGTTTTGCGTTTTCAACATTAGGTCAGTGTCTTGGCTCAGCAAGCTTTGGGCTTGGTGGCTGACCAAAGCATTGCACAAAGATCAGCTAGCATCTCATTGTGAGAAGAAAAAAATAGATACGTACCCTATAGATCTGTAACTAGAAAGCCCCTTTAGAAAATATCAACCTACTTTGGACCTTCCCTTTATAGAACAGATAGGCGGGGAGACGCTTCGGGAAAGATGGGAGAGGAGGCCCAAGCTCACCCCTCGCAACAGCCCCAGAGGCAAGTTCTCAGAGGCCAAGGCTGGCCGCCCACTGGGCGTGATGCTCGCCAAGCCATGGGTCCAGAGTCTAACCACTGCAGCTCTTCTGTGTAGCCGCTGCCTCGGTGCTCAAGTCCCGTCTCGGTTGCCTTGGGAACCCCTCCTGGCATTGGGGCCAGCTTGGGTCTGCCCTGCACTGTGCTGGCGTTGCCAGTGAGAAGGAGTCCAATGGCTGACCCTCGAGGTTGCCAGCTCTGAGGGCAGTTGGGGGGGGTGGGGGCACTGGAACCTGCCAACTCTGCCCCCCTTCTCAAGTGCGGAAAGAAAGGCTCTGGGTTTCATGCCGCAGCAGATCCGCAAAGTAGCTGGAGAAGTGGGGGAGCTTGGGTGGGGTTGGGGAGGCCTTACTGAGCTCCCCCAGCTGAGGCGTTACTAGCTCTGTGGGTCCCACAGTGTGGTCTCATGGAAACCTCCCTCACCTCCGCCTCCCACCAGGCTGGGCCTCCATCGCCCACTTGGCTCTGCTATTAGCATTCTATAAGCACCAGGCGCCCTGCTGTTTGATGGGCAGGCCGTTCTGGTTCTGGTGTCACCTTGGCAGGCGGGCTGCTGTGCTCTGCTTTCTGGGCTGCTGCCGCCGGTGACTTGAGTCATCAGACACAGAGCGTTCTGTTCGCTTGGGTTTTAGCTGAGCTTCCTCCTTTTATTGATGGCTCTTTCTCGGGGGAGGGAAGGGGGTTTGAGGATTGTTTAAAGTACAGATGGGAACCTTTGCTGAGCCAGAATACTAGATTAGCCCAGCTACCTGATTTCTTCCCACAAGGTTTGCTGATAAGTAGACATTTTACAGGGGTGAGAACTGGCGGGGGGAAGGGGGGTACGTCATGGAAGGGTCCAAAAGCACCTGTTGGGATTCCAGCATTCCATGCCCAGCCCTAGAGTCAGAGGCTCTCTGATCCAGAGTACCTCACAGCATCTATCCATCCGGCCCAGCCCCTGGGTGGATTTCAATGTGCCTGTTCAGACCACCCGGGGGTCACCAACAGTTTAGACCGACTGTCTATTTCCATGCCATCCTCTAGGAGGTAGGGCTACCTGGTGACAGCTCCAGAGAAGGCTCGCTCTCTGAGTGGCCAAGGCTGGTGGTAGCAGGAAGAGCCCCACAAGAAAAGGGGCTGGAGTGGGGGTCCTACCAGAGCAGTGGGACTCACGCCCGAGGGCCTCAGGAAGAGGTGCCACAGGCCAGGCAACTGCAGAGCGTATTCAGGCCCCATAGGGTTCGTGAGCCCAGAGCTGGTCGCAGTTCAGCTGGCAGCCAGGGTCTGGGGGTGCTCAGAAACCCCACACTGACTTCCCCACCTCATCTGTGCTGCTGGGACACCCCGAGCCTTTCTTCCTGGACTTGGGAAGGCAGGCAAAGGTAGCATGTCCCCAGTTCTCTTCCTGCCACACCCGCAGAGAGGGAGCAAGAGAGAGAGCGAGAACGGTGGCAGTGGGAGTGACTAACAGGCTCCCCTGGAGGCTCAGAGGCAGCGGTGGGCTGTGCGGTTAGATGGGAAGCAGTGGGAAGAGTTTTGACCGGATGTCTAGGTCATGGGGCCTCCTGGGGATTCTGAGCAGAACCCAGATCCTCAGTTCCCTGGCTTCTGCCCTCCTCCTGGCCTCCCAACCCACAGTGACCCCATAGGTAGTGCAGGGCTGCCCCACCGTGTTTCCGAGGCTGTAATCTTTACCAAAGCAGACTGCCTCATCTTCCTCCCAACGCCGGTGGGTGCTGACCACCGATCTTTGGGTTAACTGCCTGGCACATAACCTCTGCACCACCAGGGCTCCCTGCCACCTGGACCAAGCCCTCCTCCCTTCTTCTCCCAGCTGGCCCCCAGCTTTCTGTCTGATCCCTTCCCGTTCATGCACAACACTACATAGGCTGCCTACCCAGGAATCTCTAAAACACCTGCCCGAGTAGGTCTGTGCCCAGGTGTACGGAGCTCTGGGTGGCCTGGCCCTGCCTCCTAGTGCAGCCACACCCCACTGTGCCTCTGCCCTCCCGGCCCCACTGCTGGGGGGTGACACCCTCGCTGCCCTTTCCCAGGTTCCTCCTTCCCTCCGCAGCACAGGCCTGCGGTGCCTGGTGGACTCATCACCCTTTAAGACCCGGGACAAATGCCCCCTTTCGAGGGGTGGGGGGGCCTCCCCGGGCCTTGAATGTTTCTGTGTTGGAGCTCAGGTTGGGTGGCGTGTTTGCATGTTGGCTGTGCAGAGGGCACTGGCTTAAGCCCGGTTGGCGCGGCAGCGCCCTTTGGTTCCCTCGCAGCAGACGGGAGGGGCTGCTCTAGGAGCCCCCAGAGAGGGCAGGACATGAGGCTCAGAGGAGGCTGTGACTTGCCCAAGGCCCGCAGCAGGAGGCGGTTGAGCCAGGCTTTGAATCTGTTAGCTTCTCCTTCTGTGCCCTGCAGTCCCCGCTCCCAGGACCCCCCAGCCTCCTGGAATCCCATTCTGAGGGCCCATTCTTGGTGTCTGAGAGACCCAGAGTGAGAATGAGGGGGGTCAGCGTTTGTTGTGAGGGGGAGGAGGAGGGGTAGGGAGGGAGGTGGCAGTGAGGAGGGGCTGAGTTTCATCAGCGAGACAATCAGCTCAGCTCCCCACGGCTAAGGGTTTCCTTTCCACCTTCCACTCCAAGTGGCAGCCTCTGGCCACTTGGGGGACAGGCCTGTGGGACTCTGGGCAGAGCAGTGACATGGTGACAAATGCCCTGGCAACCGGCCTCCTCCCGGGGCCCAGAGGAGCGCTAGGGCCTGAGGGCGTGTACACTGGGGCTGCCAAGTGGGGCTCCTGGAGAGACAGCTGGCCCCCCTCCGGCCTGGGTAACTCCTGCCCTCCCTCAAGAGACCTTGCCTGCGAGCTCCCGTCCCAGCAGGGGAAATGCCACTTCCACCTCCTCTGTCCCGGATGAATGGCTGTCCCTGGCCTCTCAAGGGACTTCCAGTCCATCCAGGTACAAATGCCACCCCATCCCCAGCCTGAGCCAGGGAGGAGGGAGATGGTGTCAGGAGAACAGGGGTGCATTTGAGGTGCCGGGCATGGGGTTGCCAGGCAAGGTGGTAGCAGGGCCCGGGGGACAAAGCCCTCCTTGTTTTCGGGCCACACACAACTGGAAGGCAAACCAGGCATCCAGCCTGCCTCTGAAACTCCAGGCCCAGAACTCCGCCTGGATTTCCCTGGCTCCCTAGCAATGCTGGGCCCAGCAAGGCCCACCTCGACTGCCAGCCCAATCTCTGCGGAGGAGCCTCCCAGAGCCCGTGGAGGCATGGTGGTGGCTGGTGGAGCCGGCTGAAGTGGGCTAGACTCGGGCCCACAGACCTGCCGCTGTATGGGCGGGCTAACTGCCTGTCTTGAAGTCACCTGGGGCAGGGTCTTCAGGTGCACAGAGCAGGGTCAGCAGAGGGGGACCTTGGAGTCAATCACCCCACCATTGCCCCTCAAGCTTCCTGCAGGACCTCCTATCCCATAGGTCCCCCGCAGGGGGCTGGCACTACCATTCCAGGAGCCCCTGGATGGGTGGTTGGGGCATCTTGGATGGAAGTGCTGTGAGGCTGGGGCCAGCAGCTCGGGTGACAGGACTGGTGCCGGCAGCCCCGGTGGCCCGACACCCGACACCCCAGCAGACAGTGCTGGCTGTGTCCAGGCCCTCCAAGGGGACAGACCACGTTCTGTGTCGCAGCCAGGAAAGGCCACCTGAGTAGCCACCTTTGTCTGCCCGGGAGGCAGCCCCACCACCGGGCCAGGACAAGCGGGCTCGCTG